CTGCCCTGTCCTTTACTTACATAATGGCGCAGGACTTTGTAAGCCGCAGGGAGGTCAAGATGCTTGCTGACAGAATTGGCGTCTGAGTACCATGCCCCAAGCATCAGTCTTTCAGCTTTTAAGGCTCCTCGGCCTACGATGGTCGTTCCTTAAATATCGAAGTCATGGCCGGTTTCTCCGATATGTGTGGCAAGTTGCCAGTTAGGGTTTAGTCTCTGGGCCGCCGGGCCAACACTTACAGCCGTACCTTTAAACTGCTGATCGATAAAAGTCAGGATTCGCTTTGACAAAGGACAGCAGGCCCAGCTGTTTGAAACGTCAGCAATTCTTCAAATTTATTGCGGTGAACAGAAGATGAATTATAATTCATATCCCGGATTTCTGAAATTTTCGAATTTAAACAATTAATCGTTTTCACGCCGCCCGCATGCCGAGATCGGCATGTAGAGAAGTCCTTGCTCTAGGAGAGGGAGGGGGGAATTAAGATAGACTGTTAGCGTTGGTCATGGGTCAGGTACGTGGAGTGGTAATTACTGTCATTTCCACGGCGTGAACAACTCTCACCAGAGTTTGGGGGCTCTACACGACCGCCACCTGGTTTCGGCGTCGGCCACGAAAGTTATCGTGCTTGCATTAGTGTCTTCTGACAACACAACATTAGATAAGCTAGCCATATAGCCACTACCTTGACTGATCCTAGCACCCGTTGGCGTAGGCCCTTGAAGAAGTTGGCTGGCGTCAGGAAGACAACCTGAAAGGCTTCCTTAGGATGGACTCGGTGATTCGTATGGACAAGGTGTGTGAGGTAATGTTAGGGCGGTCTAACGAACAGCCTTAGCAAGCAGCTAGCTTGCAAGTGAAAACCACACTCAAAACAGGCTATCGATCAGCCTACACGGGTGAACGTACACAGGCCGTCAATCAATCGATAATTCAAAATTCAAGCTGAATGTCAGCCCCTGAGTCCCAGCCAATCGCACCGGTGACTAATCCATAAGAGAAGCTGATTGGTTGGTGAACCTATCTTACACACGTTCGTTGCCCTAAATTTGTTGTACCTTTTACACTCAAAGACTTCTGCCGTTGCACACTTCTTGTCATGTTCTTCCTTTGGGGACTCACACAAGACGGTGACATCTCGGCCTTGGCTACCGTTACAACAGGATAGACCTCGAGATCGATCTAGTTTCACATTTACTTAACCAGGCCGGAATGTGTTCCCGCACCCTCTTTTCCAGGCGCCTCGTAAGGTACTCGAACGCGTGTGTTTCTTATTTTTACCTCTGGCCAGCCGATAGAACAGTCGTAGGTGAACTTTATACTTGAACTAGTCGTTTGTAAGGTAGTAAGATTCTATTCATAAAAATTCAGACATTTAGTTTTACAGTGTGGTTTTTGTCCCATAATCACATAACGTGTATAGCTTTTGGCAGTCAACGACTGCCGATCGTGGGGTCCATCCAGAACTAAATATGCAATCGCTGAATGCATCTTGCCAACTACAACGAAATGCTGGTCATAATATTTCCGAATCAAATTAGTGGATTTGGAATACCTTCGATTGTCTTGTGCGAAATAATTTAGCTAAGCGTTGTTCGGTCAATGTATCCCGCTCCATGGGAGCGGGTGAAAGAGTAAATGTCCATGGATGTGGCTT